TGTGGCACACACCTAAACTGGCTGTAGGGAGGTTCTTGCAGTTGTTGCCAGGAGTCAAAAGTAGCCACAAACCTGAAGGACCTAGGTAGGGATGGCCCAGCTCCACCCCTAACAGCCACTTGCCTTGGTATAAGGCACTGACTTGGCTTTTGCCAAAGTCATGCAAAGGAGATTGGACTCAAAATTGGGATTCCATCCTGAATTCATGAAGGAACCGAAGAATGTGAAAATGCAGAGCAGCTGCAGAGCTGGCCCGTTTAGTCAGTGGGCAGGGGCCAAGAGGTAGGAGACCTTAGGCTGAGCGACCCAGAAGCAGTTCCTGGAAGAGGAAAACCTGAACTGGGCCTTAAAGAGACACTAAAATTGGTACAGTGCAATAGGAGGAGGACACCATCTGCAGAGAAACTACTGACTTTTCCAGAGACTCTCAGCAGCTCCCAGGCTGCTGTGTGCCCTCACACACAGCATTCAGGTAGCCTGGCCCCAGTACCTAGCCTTGTACATGACCCTAGAGCAGCCATCCTGCCTCAGCCATTCCCTGCAGCCACCTCTGCTTGTATTCAGTGTCCTTTTCCCAGTCCTCACCTCCCTTCAGAATCAGGCATTCTTTTCCCTCCTTTCCTCAGAACTCTGATCCTTTTGCTTCTTTCTGCCTTTTCTTGGGATCACACATGGACAGGTCCTGACTCACTAAATCATAGAAACCTCACACAGGGCTAACTCATCCTGTGGGACCCAGGCCATGCCCACAGCCAGTGCTGGACAAATGCCAAAAGAATAGAGGCATGATCAGGCACAAAGATGGTTGGTTACAAAGGATAGTAGACCTTGATACAGGGGACCATGCACTGACTGGGCAGGGCTAACCCAAGAATGGGGTTGTATCTCTCTCTTTTTTTTTAATTTTATTTATTTATGTGTGTGTGTGTGTGTGTGTGTGTGTGTGGCCAGCTCAGCCCACCAGGGGGCGAGGCTGGCTGGCATGTGGTGCTGGGGGATTGAACCGCGGTCCCTGTGCTTTGCTAAGCTTGTTCTAAGTAGGTGCTTTAGACCACTGTGCCATCTCACCAGCCCCGTGGTTGTATCTCTCTTGGCCAAGATTCTTGGGGCAAGAGAAGCCCAGGTGCTCCCTAGTTTAATCTGACACAGATTAAACTAGCTCTCTAGCTCTGCAGAAAGCAGGCCAGATGGCTGTGCCGCAAAAGGCCTTCAGGTGGCAGGTAAGCAGGTGCACTGTGGCTCTGCACACTGCTGCGTGGAAGGACATGGCAGAGTGGCCAGCTGAACTGTGCGCTTGCCCTATCTCTATTCCTTGCTGCCAGCAGGAGAATGCAAGCCATAGAACCTCTCTGAGCTTTGGTTCTTTCCTTTAAAAAAAAAAAAAAAAGGGCCTCATCCTACCTCCTTTTCAAAGTTGCTGTGAGTTATTATGTATCACAAACATAGCAATAAAAAAGGAGAAAGTTTAAAAAACGAAAAAAAAAAAAGTTGCTGTGAGGATTATGGAGGATATCTAAAACAAAAGACTCTCTGCATCAAAAGTCAGTACTGGGTGGATGATTCAGTGTTGCATGTGAATGGAGGAGATTTTAAAGAGAGTTCAAAGGAAGCCTTAAGATATGGAACTAACACTTTAAAACAGAGAAGCCAAGCTGCTGCCATTGTCTGCTTGGAAGCCAGGCTGTCACTAGCTTGGCACGGGGAGGTCCAGGCCCTGGCATAGGAGCCCATTTCCCAGTGGGCCTATGTCAGGATGCACTAACAAGTTCTCGCATGGTGGACCGAGGTTGTTGGAGATCGGGACAGGAGAACGAAATTCTCCCCAAGGACGTATCGCATGGATGGTGCTCACATGTGATGCGCTCACCTGCAGCCCCCAGGAAGGCTGCAGAGGCATAGGAGACTGCAGAGATGGCCTTGGAGAGGTTTCCCAGAAACAGTGCTTGGGCAGTGTACACCTGCTTTGGTCCTAGTTGTGGACACCAGCAGGGCAGAAGCAGAGAATCTAGGTTGCTGTTGTTGTCTGCCCAGGAGCCAGCTCTGGTATGCGGGGCTACAGCTCTGCAGCCATAGTAGGGAAGGCAAAAAGATGGTGTAGAGGCAGGTGAGGCATTGTACGGGGAACCATGGACTGGACAGAGGAGCTCTGGGCCTGGCTGTCCAAGAGTGGGGTCCATATCACTCTTGGTCAAGATCCTTGTGGGTGGAGAAGCTCAGGGGTTCCCTAGTTCAATCTGATGTAGCGCCTCCCTAGCTTTGCAGAGCATCCAGGCCAGGTCCCCAGATTCCCCTGGGCTACTCCCAGACCTGTGTGTAGAACCACAATGGTTCCAACATCAGGTCACTATAACCAAGAAACTAAGGAAGGCAGAGAAAGGAGAAAGAGAGGCCTGGGAGGAACCCAAGGCAGCCTTGACTCCTGGGGGGTAGGGATGGAGGCTGTGGCACTATGACATAATCAGGAGGGCCTCTGTCCTCCTTTCAAGCCCCACTCTCCCCAGCTTTCTCATCTCACTGGGAAACATGGTCACCAAAAGCCAAAGTCCCAGTGCCCCCCTGTTCTTGGAGCTCACACTCATTTGCCCTTTTGACTCAGCATCCTCTCTTCATCCCTTCTGCCACTCACCTGGTTCAGGCCTCAGCTTTCTCCCCAACTTGCTCCCTTCTCTTCTCTCCCCCACTGTCCACCATTCACACCACTGCCAGAGTTCACTGCCAAAACTCAAATCTGGCCACACTCACCCTTGGCTTGAAGTCATCAAGCATCTTTGTGTTGCAGGACAGACCAACCCTTTGGTGTGCTCATCAGAACGCCCGTGGTCTGTCTGGCCTCCTGCCCCCTTTCCCAGCAAATGGGAGCTTAATCACCTCCCCCTAAAGCCATGCTGCTTGGGAACCACTGGATGTGCTGGTCAACCTGCCTGGAGCCCTCTCCCCACTCCTTCTCTTGCCAATTTCTGTTCTGACTCTACTCCAGAGACCAAGCTGGGCTAGGTGCTTCCATCTGCCTCCTCCTTCGCCATCCTCCCCATCTTGCCCTGGAGTAACCCAGATTCCTCTGCTTCCCACCCCTGGAGCTCACGACTCCTCGTGCAACATGGTGCTCAGTGGTATGTCAGGCATCCCACAAGCACCCAGGAATCAGTGTGTGAATGAATGGATAGGTGAGTGTGAACAAAGGAATCCAGGAGACAGGAAGCAGGGAAGACTCGTGCCTTAGATCCAGTCACAGTGAGTTGGAGGGGTGGGTGGCATCTGGTAGAGACTCAGGCTGCCCTGACATGGGGGCTTGAAGCTTCGGGAGGGGCATTTAGAGATATGATCTCTCTCTTCACGTGGGATCCAGTCTCCCCAGAAAAAGAGAAGAGATCAAATGGCCAATAAGTGGCTCAGTTTTCCACAATGTCTTTGTCAGCTGAGAGTACACTGGAGCTAGAGGACATTGTAAGGACCTTGTCTAAGGCTAATGCTTTTACAATGCACACGAAGGGACTCAGGCTCCGTAGCTAGAGACGGTGCTCAGCCTAAATATCATGTCTCCATGATGTACACATTCTTCCTATCCCTCGTGTGTGGCGCTCATAGCCAACCCCTGAAGGAAGGAGTCGGTGAGGGTGACATGGGAAGTCAGAAGAACCCAGCTGCACAGAGACCCGTGCACCGATGCCTCCTTCCACGGCACAGCTTTGCATGGGCCCAGAGAGGAGCAGACCTGACCAAGGCCTTGGGAGCCCCAGGGCTTTTACTTTGAGTCTCATATACTTAAACACGACAGGCCTGTCTTAGTTACATTTCTCTCGTTGCTGGGACAAATACCCAACACCCAAAATGAAGGAAGGAAAGGTTTATTTAGCTCACAGTTTGTGGAAGTTTCAGTGCATCCTCAGCTGGCTCCAAGGCAGAGCGACACATGGGACAGAGTAGACATTCCTGGCAGCAGAAAAAAAAAAAAAAAGCAAGAGCAAAGGGGAGTGGAGCAGCTCAGGCAGCTAGCTGGCCTCTCTCCCCTCTCACACCTTAAAGCAGATTACCTGCCCCAGGGTGGATACAGCACCCACACCCACAGTAACCAACCAGAAGCCACCCCAAGACTGCATGAGGCCTGGGGGACACCTAGACACAACCCGTAACAAGGCCTCTCACATGTCCAGCAGCAGCTGCACTTGTTTTGCCCTGTTCCAACCACTGCTGGCCATCCACTCTCCAGCCCTATGACACCTTGGAAACAGCTGGTTAGAAGCCAGAAGAGAGACTGCTGTGACCAAGAAAACTGACAATCCAACTCCCAAAACGTAGCAGCAGAAGGTCCCCTAGGAACAGGACCAGCAGCTATTCATGCCAAGTGCGTGACGACTCCTCACCTACACCCAGATGCCCGCACGAGTCCCAGGGGTGGCAAAAGCAATGCTCCATATACGTTTTTTGCTTAAAATTTGTCAACATTTAGATATCTCAGAAGGACTGTCACCCAAGTTGTGCTTGTACCGAGAAACAAGTCCTCTGCTCGCCAAAGGCATGAGTTAGCTTTAAGAGCAAAGGCTTTTCATTGTGAAAAGTGTAAAAAGGAATTGGCATTCACTGATAGGTTACAACATACCCGGCAGTGACCAAGTACATCATCCTGTCCAGTTTCACAACTCTCCAGTCTTGCCTGCGGCAGCCCCCATCCAGTTTTTATTGGACTCATGGATGACCAGCTTGGCTGGGGTGGTCAGCCTCCTTTGAGAGGTGGGGCAAGTATACCTGGCAAGGATAGCTTGTCCGCAATGGTACCGACACAGGGCTGGCAGGGAGCCCGGCGCCTTCTCTAAGGCTCTGTTTCCATCACCACAAAGGGGTCCACTTTGCCAGAGGGAGAACTGTCACTTGCTTGATGAGTATGGCACTAACTCTCTGGCCTTCCGTCAGTCAGCGTCATGAACACCCATGGTGACAGGCTGTGTGTGCAGCCCAGGGTTAGGAACGCCAGAGTTTCAGATCACTTTTGCTTTCTTTGACAGGAATGAATTCAGAGCATGGACAGACATCAAGCCTGTGAAACCAATAAAAGCCAAGCCCCAGTACAAGCCTCCAGATGACAAGATGGTTCATGAGACCAGCTACAGCGCCCAGTTCAAAGGGGAGGCAAATAAGCCAACCGCTGCTGACAATAAGGTCACGGATCGCAGGAGAATACGCAGCCTCTATAGTGAACCTTTCAAGGAACCCCCAAAGGTGAGGTGGATCTTGTGGGGACCCTTCACATAGCCTGGATGGGAAGTGGTTAGCAGAGCTTGAGAGCTGGGCCCCTGGTGACACTGGCCACCCTCCAAGGGCTCCTTTCCTGCTGAGCACAGGGGCACCTTCCAGAGGAATCTTTGTTAAAATCAAAGGAAGGGTTTGACAGGAGCATTACTTCTTATAAAGATAACTTTTGAAGGTTGGAAAATTTCTAGAGAACTACTTGCTGCGTTTGAGAAATCCAGAAAAATAGCAGAAAATCTTACTGATTACTGACACCTTGTTTTAAAATAGCTGTGCTATAGTATCAATCACCTTGAAAGAGGCCAAATGAGTCACTAGCCCAACCCCCAACAGGAAGAGACCCTGTCCCGTATTCATGCCCACTTGCTACATGACTCACTTTCCCATTTGATACTGGATTTAATCAATTTTACCTGAGCAATGGTGCTTGTAATCTCTTTGGTTGACCATAGTTTTGTCTCACCTCATGCCCAACAAAGCAAGTTCCCATGTCTTCTCCACCACCTTAGACCCACCTCATCACATGGTTTTCCTCTATAAAAGTCCCTGCGAGAGACAACTTCCCAGGGAACTACCTGCTTGGGCATGCCCCCCTCCTGTCCCTCTCTCGGGACAGGAGCTTTCTTTCTTTCAATAAATATATTCTGTTCAAAAAATAAAATAAAATAGCTGTGCTTCAGCCCTGAGGGCTGGCCTGGGGTCACAGGGCCCCTGGCCTGCTTTCTCCCCTGCCCACCAGGCCCTTCCCCACCCCTCTCCTCAGTCTCTACAAGGCATCCACCCTCTTCTTTTAATAAACATCCACCTGCAAGGCTCAGCCGGTCACACGCAACACAGCAGTCACATCAGCTGCAAGGCGTGTTCCCAGTCATTGTTTTACTCCGGTAGACAGTTTGTGAAAGTGGATTCATGGGTTCTCTCATAATAACACTGCCCTGCCTTATCTGTATTTCAGTAGGAGCTCAAGAGTGGGAGAAGCATGTTGGACACAGAGCCGGTGACATGGGAATCATACTTGCCAAGGAGCCTAGCTTTTTCTATGACATCAGGCCATGTGGAACTGGCACATATTATCTGTCCTATGTGTTGCCTGAGAACCTAAATACCCACAGACCCTACACAACCTTTTCTGTGCTTTTGCCCCAAAGTCCACCAAATGGGCTGCACTTGGAGTTCCCTGTGAGACCATAACCCGCTCACAGCTAAGATAACCACCTGACCCAGTTTGCCTGGGATGCTTCAAGTTGTAGCACAGAAAGTGCCATGCTCCAGAAAGCCTCTCTGTTCTAGGAAAACCAGGACAATTGGTTGGTTACCTTACTTGCAGGTCCCGGATGACCGAAGGCCCCTGCACCCTTATGAAAGGTCCCAGGGTAGAAGGTCGTGTCACTTCTGCCTATGTGCAGCTGAGGTGGGACCCATGACATTGGCTTGGCATTAAGATTCCAGGGGAGGAAGGAAGAAAGATTGGGGAAATTAAATATAGCAATGGGTGGAAGGGTGGCGTGTTCCCAGTCATCCAGTCAGCATTCCCAGGGGTTCCAGGGTTCTCTGAGGAAGAGAAGGCAGGATTTCTTCTCAGAACAAGAAGGGAAGGCTGAGGAGGGAACCTGCAGAAATGGAGTGGACTTGGGCAGGCTGCTTGGAGAGCCACAAGGCAGCCAATAGAAGGGTGTGGCCTGGAGGCACAAGCCCAAAGCATGTCAGAGAGAACTCTTCTCTGTGTGCTCACTGTCCCCAAGACAGAAACTGAGAGGCCGGCGGGGGGCAGCAGTAAGGCACTTGGGTGTCCTGCCATCCAGCGTCAACCAAGGCATTTCCCAGGAATCCCCAGGCCCCTTGTGTGGAGCTCAGCTGTGCCCTGCACTGCCTGTCAGCCATGCCATGTCCCTCTGGGGCAGCGGAGGAGAACAAAAGAAGCAGGCAGCTGAGTCATGGATCTTGGCCTGGAGGTGACCCCTCTCCCTTCTTCCATTTCATCGAATACAGCAAATCATAACCTATGCCTGGGTGATGAGGTGTAATCTTCCAGAGGGAAGGAAGAACAGCAGATACTGCAGAATAGTGCAGGAGCCTGCCCCAGGGGTGGCCCAGGGGAAGGGCAGGCAGAGCAAGGACCCCAGGGCAGCGCTGAAAAGTGTTGCCAAGAAGGCTCCCTGGGAGTTCAGACAGGCGATACCAGGTGCCCAAATGTCCCTGAAGCACTTCCCATACCTTGCCCCTGTGTCAACCCACCGAGCTGCTGTGATCCTTCTACTAACTCTGTACTGTCCTTTTTCTAACCCCTCTCCACTCCCTCCCTTTTGTGTTTCTGTGTTTGCCTTCTACGCGTCTGTCTCTCCATGCAGGTGGAGAAACCCACTGTTCAGAGTTCCAAACCAAAAAAGACCTCAGCGAGCCATAAGCCCCCGAGGAAGGCCAAAGACAAGCGGGTGGTGTCGGGCCAGGCTGCCAAGAAAAAGAGCTCGGAGAGCCCCAGTGCCACCAAGCCTGACGACAAGGAGCAGAGTAAAGAGATGAACAATAAACTGGCTGAGGCTAAAGAGTAAATGTCACCGCACTTTCCTTTTATCCTCTCTCTCTCTCTCTCTCTCTCTCTCTCTCTCTCTCTCTCTCTCTCTAACAACAAACAAAAAAAGGCCACAAAATTAATTAGACTTTCTCTCTGCCTTGGTCCTTGTCCTGAGTGTCCCAAGAGCTCTTTGGGTTACTTTCTCTCCGTGGACAACTCCTGAGATTCAGGACACAGACTGAGCAGTTTGCCTGCTCCTGTGGGCAGCCCCGCTCCCAGCCACAGGGCCCCCGGGACACCAGGAAGCAGCTCTCGCTGGCTGTGCCCTCCCTTGTAGGCCCCAGCTGGTGCCAAGCACTCCTCTTGGCAGAGCTTGGAAGGCTCTGGTGTAGGGTCTTCTCTCCTGTTCCTCCAAGGTTTGTGTCCCTTTTTTTTTTTTACTTTGAACATTAGGTAAAAGTTCTTTCCCAGAGTTCAGAGGATAATCATGTGCTTCAGAAGCTTGGCTTGGGCCTCAGCAGTTAACAACCTTTGCAGAAATATTAAAAATAAGCAGACAAACAACTTTGGCCTTAATGTCAACAAAATAGACTTGTATCTTTTAAGTAATCTTAGACTCTTCTATTAGAAGTGTGTGTCTGTGTGCTGTTTCCTGTCACTGGGCTTTAAGTTGCATACGAGTAACAGATAGGCCACTGGTAACTGACACCAGGCCAGTGTGGTGGAAGGGTGGGTGTTGAGGTGTTGTAGGTCAGAGCGTGGGCCCAGCGGGGAGACTGTGCTGTTCTGTCCACCCTCCATATGTTGCACAGCAGCTGGTCAGGAGGGACTGAGGAGGAAAAGTCACAGTGTGGGGTACATAGTGTGACTCTCCATTCCTGTGAAGCTTGGTGGGACAGAGACAGAACAGCAAGCATAGCAATGTTTTGCCTCGCAGAGAGGCCCGCAGTGCTGGACTACAGATTGGTGTCTCTGTGGCAAAGCAAGAGAGAGCCCCGCAAAGTGTCTAGCCAGCTTTTTTTCTTTTTTTAAACTTCATTGACAAATAACAGCAGCTCTCAGTGTATTCTGTGTCTTGTGCCTGTGTGACCAAAGTCCCCCAGGGGAGACAAGGGCCACCTTAGCTGTGCTAGTGTGGTGTTGTGTAGGAATTAGTTAAGGAGTCGTTGTGAAAAGATTCCCAGTGTTTGTGAGGGAGCTCAAAATGTCTATCAGAAGTGTCGTATTTGCAGAGATGTGGTGCGAGCGCTCAGCACGCTTTGCTTCACCTGTCTTGAAGTCCTTATCTCCTCCAGCATCCTGAGTGGCTGAGCTGTTGCTTGAAGTCCAGCCTCTGCCTGGGCTTGCTTTCCTTTGTCATAAAAAATGATGGAGGCTGTAAACTTCAGTTCCTTACCTCAGATGTCCCTGCAGGCCCTTCTGGTGTGAAGGAGGTGGAGTTCCACAAGCTTTCTCTCACCCTCATTTTCCAGGATGCAGGGTCCATTTATGCTATCTTGCTTGGCACTTTGGGGCTGGCTGAGAAGTCTTTGCAAACGAACCCAGCGGGTGCCACCCAGGCCCTGGGCCTGCCACCTCCTTCCTTTCCATCTGAGCACACAGGCCATAAGGAAGGAGGAGTCTGAAGAAGGTGGGAAATGGCAGCGAGTCTGGGTGCTCACGAATGACCAGCTTTGAATGTCTATCTGGAGATGCCTAAACCAGATCTCAGTACTGTTTCTGGCTAATAATTAGCTAATCTTAACACTTATAAGAAAACTCTCTCAACATGAGTGAACTATATCCAAGAGTTTGCCAGTGTTTAATCATTCTCTCAAAATTCAGGATGAATCAAGCATGTTGATGTCACCCAAAACTTGGATTTCTCCATAGGATAAGTGTGTTTAGCAGATGAGATAAATCAGAATTTGTAGTTGTGGGCAGTGTAAATAAATATACCCCCACAGAAACACAGCCAGCAGGGTGCACAGGACAGTCCCTTGTGCACCGTGTCTGAGTCCAGCTGGAATTGTCTGTATCATAGTTTCATAAAGGCCCCACACATTTTTCCACCCACCTCACAGCCCCAGAGACTGAGTTTCTTATCCTGGCCCATGTAAGGCTTTAGATGATTTGTACGATATCTTATTCACCCTGTCAGTGTCCCCTTCTTTTTTATACATTCTCCTCAAAAAAAATAATAATAACTCTTCTTCACAGTTCACTTTGACTCTTGAATGTGTCAATTCACTAACAAGAAATTTCCTTTGACTTCTACTGTTTACAAATACAACTCAGCCAGTCTTGTTCCGTGTACCAGGTGGACCGAACGAGACTGACTTTGGTTCCTCAAGCAGTGTTTGGCCTTGCCTCTCTGAAGGTAGCCAGGCTTGGCTGCCTGCCCTGCCCTTTCTGTACATTGCCCCATTGCTCTCTGTACTCTTCTAGCAAGAGGGCCAGGATGAGGACTCTCCCGTAGTCTGCTTGGCCTGCCTGCAAAGACCTCCCCAAAGCTGTGCCCTGACTTCTCCCAGCTTCCTGTTCTCTGCCTGGGCCCACATCCTGCCCAAATGTCCGTGCCGTGCCTCACCGAGGCAGACAGGGAGTATCTAATTACAATTTTGTGGCCTGGGTTTTGTTGCATACCACAGATTGTCTATGTAATGTGTAGCGCACACCTCTCTTGGTGCTATTTCATTCCTGCTGTTGGTAAGAGAATGACAAAAATATTCATGTATAGCCAATTGATTGTGACGTGCTTGTGGTCTGTGCTTGCTCAGAAAACAAACAGTTTTTTTTTTCCAATTATAAATAAATACTAAAGACGAACACTACTTTCTTGATCTTATTTCCTTGGTGAGGCCCAGCTGAGTAGGTGAAGGAACCAACCTTTGGCATTTGAGCCGCTCTCCACAAGATGAGCTGTGCCCTGCAGTTTTCCTGGGGCTCTCCGTAATGCGGCTTGGCTCTTTTAGATTGCCTCTCAGATACTAATTGCAAGCAGTCAGAGCTAAGTGTGGGCAAAGGCGAAGACGGACCGGGAGACGCACTGGCCAACAAGGTAGTGTAACGTTTTGATCCCATGTCGCCGGACAAGTGACTGCCTGTGCCCTACACTGCCTTGCTGTGCTGGGAGGCTGGGCTCTGACTCTCCCCTCCCTGGGATCAGCAGCAGTGTTGGTTCCGGCAGAGATGCCTTTGCTTGCTGATTGTATCCATGGTTGTTTTGGAGTTTCATCCCACGGGGGGCTGGCTTGCTGTGTGGGTTATGGGGGCTATGGTCATCTGTGTGTCTAACATGGAGTAAGAGGCCTAGATAAAGTCACAGCTGCTCAGGTGGCTGAAAGCTCAGAAGCAGGACAGGTCTCTTCCTACTGGAGTAAGGAGTTGTGGAAAGCTTCCTGCAGGGGGCGCTGTGGACCGCGGTGGGATGTGGTTGTGCCAGGCATGCAAGGCTACAGGCCCCGTCAGAGCTGCAGAGGCAAAAGGGAGGGAACTTGGGAGAACCTCAGGATTAAGGCCAAGTTGGCCCACTTTGTTGTCTTCCTGTTAATGTTGGGACCAAGAGATTTCATCCTCTTCATTTTTCCAACATGTGCTCCATGGGCGCCTATTGTGTGCCAGACACCATGCTGGGCACTGGGGAAGCCAGGATGCCCGAGACCCACTCTGAGCACTGTGAGGCAGGAAGGAGGAGTCCATTCTAGCTGGCTCTGTGGGTAAGGAAGGACTTCAGCGTGTGGGTAGGTGCTGAGCAGGTAAACAGAGGTGGCCATGGCATGCAGGAAGGGGAATCTGCATGGGCAAAGGTGGGGAGGGGAGGGGTTCTGTTGGCAGGGGAGGGCCAAGGTAGACAGTGGCCGAGCTCGGTGGTGGACAGGCCTGGCGCCATGTGATGGGTGCTGCTGACTGTGGTCTCCATTCCATCCCCCGGCCACGCCATGCTCTCTCCTGCTGCCACCATCATGCCGCTCACCTTCACCCCGCCTTAGCAGTGGCCAGCAGGACCTTTGCTCCGGCCCAGGAGCCCTGGCAAGGGCGTGGGTGGGGAGGCTTTTGTTGTATTGCTTGCTTCAATTTCTGGCTTTGGGGGACAGTGATAAGAATCCATCAAATATAATATTTAAAAACTATTATATGTTTGTTTTCTAGATGAATAGAAAACACCTTATCCACCTGCCTACCCTTGTATAAGCAGGAAACACAAAACCTGTTCATTAAATAAAGTGAACTGAGCCAGCCAGAAAGCTCAGCGGATTAAAGCCCCTGCTTAGGCAGATGCTGGGACCAGGGTTCGATCCCCAGTGTGCTGTGCTGGCCCTGCCCCCAGGGCACACGGAGACTACAACCGACACTGGGCATGGTGGTGTGAGCCTGTAATCCCAGCATGTGGGAGGATGAAAACAGGAGAATCACTGAGTCTAATTTGTGTAGTGATACCCTATAGACCCAAAAATATACAAATATTTTTTATTTAAATACAAAAAAATAAAATTTAAAAAATAATAATAAGGTGGACCTGTTGCCATCACTGGATGAGGGCAACAGAGAAGGCAGGAAGGCAGGGGCTGTCTGTCTAGCCATGCTGTCCCATGAGCCAAGCTCAGCCTCGTGTACCTGCGATTCCACAGGGCCCCCACCTGCTCACAGCCCAGGAGATGAGCCTCTCTCCTAGTGTGCACGTTGGCCCAAACAGAATGAAATTCTGTTCAGGCATCTAATTTTAAAATTATTACTATATTAATTATAATGTATCATAACATCTTCAGAGTTTGTGTATTCTTAGTAAAACTCTTCCCTCTCTCTCTCTTTTTTTTCTTTTTTCTGTTTTCACCAAGGCTTAAAAATTTGTAACGTGCTGCTCATAGACTTGGGCAGTGTAGAATCCTAACTCATAAAGGCTATAAAGTCCTTTAGCATGTCACTATGTTTCCAAAATTCACATTTTTCAAGACCAGGTAGAAAAACTTTCAGGACATAGCCTGCGGACAGTCTGCAGTTAAAGCAGAGCCCCTTCTAACCTCTCTGAGACCAGCATGGCTGGGACAGTGGCGGGAG